AGAAAAATATTTCTTATGTACATACAGCAATACCGAACGTATCGTAAATTTCACTAGAATAAAACGGATCTGCGATGAATCATTATCGTTGTAGTTCCTATATTAGATTAAAATCTGGGTCTTTTTAGGTCATCCTTAGATCGAGTTGAATCTATTCTGAGAAGATATTGTAAGAATCTAACATTATTTATGATTTTTCATGAAGAGTCAATTGAATTAAGCAAACTGTTTTTTTTTAATAAATGAATATGCTGGTATTCATATCTGGAATAAATAAGAAGAATATTAACATTACATATTTTGAAACTATTTGTTGAGCAATAGTAAGATAAATAAAAAAAAACACACTGGAAGCAAAGAAATGATATGTTATTGTTCATTTATAACAATAGTCAATTGTGTAGGGGATTCTTAAGTGTTAAGTGTTATTGAAAGTTTATTCAGGGTTTTTTTTGAGAACTTTTAAAATCAAGTCAATTCAAACAGAAGTAGGTTTATATACAGTAAGATAAGAAAATGACCGAAAAAACCTCATTTCACTACAAAAAACAAAATTTTCTGATGATATGTATAATGGCAAAATCTATAATAGATTGTTCCTGATAGTTGTCAGACAAAATCATTGTTAAGAACTTGAATACAGTTAATTGTTTATATAGACATCTATACACGACAGGATGCGGTCGTTTGCCACTGCTTATATTCATTCGACATAGGCATGACAATTATATAATCTACACTTGAGAGAAGTATTCATTGATTTATAGTTACGTTTTGCATTACAATATAATCTTATGAACGGCGTTTAGATAATCTTTCAAAGATTTATTCAGTTTATATTGATTCAAAAATTAAGAAGCTTGAAAAGGCGTACTGAATTTTAATACATGTAAACATGAATGTCGTATGAGATGAAAATTCTTTTCGAGATAAAATAAAACTTTTGAATATTTATTAATTAAAATTTTCTTTCTTTTTCGAACTCTAACATATCGATTAATTGATCAATAAACTTCGAAAAATCTATTTTATTTTTTCTTAAATTTCTAGACGATCTGTTCAAACTATAATGATCAATGAAAATATGATTAAATGGCTTGTACCATTATTAAGTAAATCAAATGATTTATCTGATTATACTCTAGGTAAAATAATATCTTCGCTACAAAAACAAAAAAAAAAAAAAAAAAAATTTAAAATAGATAAATATTTTAATTTCTAAAATTTTTAGAATATGGCGTAGCCTTATTAATGAATTTATGTCTGCGTACCGATGGTCGTAAGAAATGTGCTGAAATAGCTGAACAATCTATAACCGTCCTTGCATCTCTATTAACTCATCCAAATCATGAAGTATGTTTTTGATAATATATATATATATATATATATGTAAATATTATATTAATTAATTTACTTTCTACATATATTCAGACTCGACCATATGTTAATTCATCATTATATTCAATTTTAACACTTAAATCTGTACGTGATAAAGCTATTCAACTAGTAAGTCATGATTTTAATCTATGAATTAATTTATAAATATTTATTATTGATAATAGAATCTTGAAAATCGTCTTCGAACATTAATTCGAACTGAAACAACAAATTCAGAAACAAAAGGTCAATTAGAATTTTTACTTAATCTTCTATGTAAAAATGGTGATCAAATTATTGATCAATCATCTGATAATGAACAAGATAATGATGATGTATAAAAAAAAATATTTAATTTAAAAAAAGAATTATTTCATTCATAAAAAAAAAAATAAAAAATAAAAATTTTTTTTTTATTCTTTCTAGGAAGATCAAGATGTAATGGAAGCTGATTTAGATCTTGCTGATAAGCTACATGCAATTGATCAAGAATTAAGTGGAGATGATTTAATACTTAAAAAATATGCATTACAAAAAACAATAACAAATACTCAAAAATCTTATAATAATATATTATATGCATCATCAATAAATGATTTTAAAAGTAGAACATCAATTGATCCTGTTCTTCATCGACCAACAACACCTGGTCAATTACGTCAATCTATTGTTGCACACACAGTTGATTCACTTGCTAATAGTCTTGCTGTTGGTGATATATTTCATAGTCAAAATAATGGATTTGAACAATTAAATAGGAATAATACTATATTTGCAGCATCAACATCAATGTCAATAAAAAAACCTTTATCAGCAAGTGTTATGTCAACAACAACAATTAAAAATAATAATAATAATAATAATAATAATAATACAAATTTTTTCAAACAAACATCATCATCAATAACACGACCAAAATCAGCAAATCGTATGTCATCACAAGATCAACAAAAACAACTTACACCTGTTCTTGCATTTGGTACAAATGATGAACTTGATCGTTCTATACCAACAATAACACCACCAAAAGTAACACCACCAATGAAATTTTCTTTTAGTGAACCACCAAGATCAAATTCAAGTGCATCTATACGTTCATCATCATCTTCCATACTTGAATTAAGTAATGGAAATTTAAATAATCAAAAAACAAAAAAACTTTAGATCTTTTTTTTTTCTTTATATCTATTGTTTTATTATTGTTTTGTTCTGTTTTTCTTTCTATTGTTGTATGAATTACACATCTATTTCTTTTTAAAAGAGAAAAAAAAAACTTTATTTAATAAGTATATAATTTCATTCAAAAAAACAAACGACAATGCATTCATTCTTTAGCTTTCTTTGTATGTATTCCTATTATTGTGTGTGTAACTCTAATTGTTTCTTAAATGTTAAATTTTTTTTTCTTCATACAGACAGTTATATTGTAGAAAAAAGAAAAGAAAACATCATGAAGTAATTTTTTTAATATAATATAGTTATTTATAATTAAGTTGGTTATTGATGAAGGATATCAAAGGAATGAAAAGCATAGATTTGTCAATATGAATGTATTTTTCAGTTATAACTTAGAATGAAATATTTGACTTCTTTTTTTTTATGATAAATTAATAAAATTTAAATATCTCTAAGGAAGTGTTTTGAATTATTAGATCTTGTTTGATTTTGATGTTTTGATTATGAATTTGAGGCAAGTCTAAGTAGTCCAAAACTATGGACTTCATAAACTGAAATCTACGAGTTTTCATGCAGTTGAAATTTTCAACAGGAAATCTTCATTTTATCAATATGAGCTTCAAAAGATTTTTTACTCAAAATGAATATAAGATATAAGACAAGATTTATCAGCTCCTCTCCCTAGCATAGCAACTTGTGCCAATGTGAGATGGTGAAGATATAGATCCATGATTTTCATATCGTTGATAGTCGTAGCAACGCTGGCAAAGGCATTCACAATGACCTATAGCAATCGGGTTCAAGCATCATTGGATACGTTTCTCGTAGTAAACAAAGATAACAGGCACCAGACTCCTATTGTATAGTTCCTTAGTAAGGGAAATAAGGTATTAAACGACTCTAGTACATTCCGAAGCCTTCCTTGAAATTTAAATGAGATCATTTGAATACATAATAGCTCGGTGAGATCTATTGCAGATATAATACATGTCGAGAACAGATTTATTTGTCAGTTAAATCAATGATGAGAATAATAAGAGCAGTTTAAGAAAAAAGAGACAAAAAAAATAAATAATGAATGAATGCCAACAAAAGAAATAAGATGTAGATCACATGTAAAAACCTACAAGAAAAAAATAATAATTTTCAAAATGCAAAAACAAATAAGACGGATCGTTTGTCTGACAATCTATTATTCTTGGAAAGAAACTATCATTTATAAGAGATTTTTCACTTAACGTATTCTGTATGACCATAATGAAGCTGAAAAAAAGACATTTGAGTTTTACATTCAGCTTATTTTTAATTTCATCTTTCGTAATTTATTGCTAGCATTATTTTCCTTACCATTCATTTAACTGACAAATAATTCTATTGTACCCACTGATTGTATCCACAGCAGATGTTAACCTGTTATTATCCATCTCCATTAACTCAAAAGTACTGATATTAACTATCTCTAAAAGTTAGAACTTGATTTGTTCATACTTTTAGTGTTGATCATTTGGTGACTGTGGCAAATCGGACCATCGCTAACCATTATCCTTGATATCTATCGTATAATTATTTATTTGAGCAAAGATGAGTTACGCTACGTTATTTAGAGCATCGAAAGCCGTATTGCAGCCATTTAAGTTTCAAGGAAGGCTTTGGAATATTCTCAAATTGTCCAAGCCTTGTTGTGAATGCCATTCAGTGCCTTTTTCTGTTGCTAAGAAACTATGGAAGACCACTCTGGTGATCGTTGTTCTCGGTTGCTTTAACAAACGTACTCAATAATTTATGTCTTGGTAATTAGATACTGGGAGAGTGGGAGCCGTCAAGATCTCGATTTAAATTTACACTTACTATTTTTCCACGAAAAACTTAATGTGACTCTCACAAAAATTGTCTTTCTACTTAGAAACCGCATGAAAAATAGTAAATATGTATGATGTATTCTAATCTGAACTCTTTCAATTTGTTCTTAGTCTTCTATAGATCTGTTCATAATCAAAATATAAGATTCAACATTGTCCACTAGTTGAATACAGCGTTACAATTACATATTCTAGTGATTGATTCAATTCTTTTTCACCTTTAACCATAAGAGTGTCAAATGATTCATTAAGAAAGATACAAGCAATTTTTCTATGCTAAATCGATAAAAAGGAAAAAGATTTAAATGACTACTATTTTTCTTGAAACTACCATTCAGTCTTTTTCTTTTTAATATTCGACGTAAATAAATGATAAAATAATTATATCAAATATTTGACAAAATATAATACTTCTAAAAGTTAATTCCAAAGAAACCATCAGTTCATTATTGTATTAATATATCATTACAAAACGTTAGACTATTCTCATATAGACTGATTTATTTATTCATTGATAATTTTTTTACAAATAAACATAAATTTAGTTATTGACATCATTCAAACTATGATATTTTGGAGATGTTCCAGCTAATAATTGTTGATTAAATTTTCGACGAATAAGATAACATATGAAACAAATGAATACTAAAAAAGCTACGATAAACATAAATAAAATGAATAATATTGTTCCTGAACATACGTCATTATTTTTCTTTCTATGATGTTCTTGTTTTTGTAATTTAACAATTTTATTAATAACACCACTAAGTCTAACACTACCTTGAATAAGTCGTTGTTCAAGAATACCTATTCTTGTATTATAATAAGTTTCACCTAAACGAAATTCATATGATATATTCATTGGTTTATTATCTTCATCTCGATAAATATATGCACAATTTAATTCAATATTTTCATTAATCCAAACTGTTGAACATGCTACATCATGAGATTCTTCATCTGACGGACATTTTGACCATTGTGAAATATTATGTGCATAAGTTGTTTGTAGTAAATTAAATAGATAATCATAATATTTATTTTCATCATTTTGAAAATCTAATAAAATACGACGTTCAATCATTAATTGATCCCATAAAGCATGTAAATTAGTTGGTTTATCAAAAAAATTACCTAAAATAAATAATTAATATTCAACTGTTAATAAAAATAAAACATTTTCTTTTTTTTTTTACCTCGAATTAAATTTCCACCTTTATCACCAACAAAACCTGCATGTAATGGTTGATGAATATCACCAATAAAATGTACTAAAAATTTTAATGCTTCTTGTCGTTGAATATTATCTTGATTAATATCAGCTAATTGTTTTGTATAATTTTGAATTGCTCCATCAACACAACGTTGTCTACTCGTCCAATTACAATCACGATTACGATCATAATTACAAGTCCAATCAGGTACATTGACATAATGCAATTCTCTTGACCATAACCAATTGAGATAATCAATTGGATTTGTATTTGGAGAAACGATTATATCAGGCCATGAAGCAAGCATACTTAAATTACCTATTGTATACCATGGTAAATAATTACGAACGAATTTTTCTGACTCCTTAGTCAACATAGTTTGTGCAAGTTTAGCTACAAGAGCATGTCCAGTAACACCCCAGCCATTTACTTTTGAAATATATATAGAACTTAATATAAAAAATGCAAAAAACATTGAAGGTATGATTTGGACAAAGAACAAGACGAAAGTAAGAAAAAGTTCTCTTATGAATTCAGATACGTTAGATAAAAACAAAAATACAAGAGCGTCAATTATTTTGTGTACTCACATGGTCAAACAAAAAATGAAGAAAGAAAAAGAGTGAGTTTGCACACTAGAACAAACAGGTGTCAAATTTTTTCAAAATTAATCAATTGATTTAATGTAAGATAAAAAATCTACCTTGTTGGACAGGTATCTATTACAGTTAGTCTTCTCGTGACATATATTCAACTTGATTGAATTTGATTCAAATTATTAATTGAATTACTTGACAGTTAGATTCAAATTCAGACTACATGCTATCAAATAAGATCAAAACAATAGATTAAAATTTCATTAATCATGAAATATCGAATACCTATTAGAATATGAAAAAGTAGACATATTTTACAATATGTTGTCCGAAATATAGATTATTAAAATTAATCTTTCATGATCGGTAAAGTACCTTTACGATGAAGTCTGTGCTTTTCAATTGTCTTTAGTCATATGTAATAATAGATTTCGTTTTTATTTTAAATTTCGTTGTTGTTATGCACAATCAATAAAGTGATTAATCGAATTTCTTTTTGCAATGAATTAAATAGAAATATATGGAACAGGTATAAGATGATTCAAAATAACAATATTCAACATTTACTCACCAGAATATTTGTTTCTCGTATCGGTCGACATAGATTTCATTTGTTTGCAAGTCTCTTATAAAGTTTTTATTTGATATTCTTACAACTTTTTTATCTAGAACTATTATGTATCAACAGAAAACTTATGATCGAATAAAATTATTAATGTAGTTATTCAATCGTTATATGACACACACAAAACGAATAACAATAATAATATTTTGAGTTCTGTAAAAAATTTTTATTTGGAAAACAGAAACTATCTAATCAAACCATTCGAAAAGATTAAAATATTCATCAGTCAATATTAAAAATAATGGTCAAATGAAGTTTTATACATCATTTTACTATCATAACAAATCTGTATTTCATTCGGAGAGAGTAAATTTAGTTATCGAGAGGGCAGGCAAAAACTTTCTTAGAGAGAAGCTACTATCAGCATTATAAGACCCGATACAATCATGCTTTCAAAACATCTGCATTTCATAAGTTACGAAAAACTATTTTCCATTTCATTTATTCGAACAATATATATCAAATACACGCAATAAGATCAAAATTTATTACGATCAAAATTAATGAAACAATAAACTACATCATCAGAAAAATACATCAAATATAAAATCATTTAAGAAAACCAATATAAAGATCGATTATATATATTTTAAACCATCCAACAACATGGTTTTTATAATTTCCAGCAATTGATTATTTCTACTTTCATTTCAGACGATATGATTATTTATTTTATTGGATGTAAAGATTTGTGATAAAAAAAAAAGAACGGATGTTATCATTCTAAAGTTGTGACCTAGTTAAAGATGGTCAGATAGAACAATATAATCAAAACTATAATTTAAATTGTTGAAAGTTGAAACATATTTTTGAATGTCGATAGATTCCTTTTATTGAAATAACTAGTAATGTTTTTCAAAATGAATACTTTGTATGTGCCATCAAATCATTTTTTGATAAAAATAGCAATACCTAGTGTCTAGATAGTCTTCCTTGTACATCTCATACGATCTTTGTCAGATTTTTCCATCTGGATCGATAAAAAGGTAATATTCTTCATCAGCTCGATGGACTCTATCGAATGATGTATGATTGAAGATAATCTTTTTCTTGCTTCTCTTTTGCCTTTAGTGCATCTTATATTCTATTGTTATTTAATTTCCAACTAACTTGATTGCTGAAAAGGATGAGTTAACAATAACAGATTGAACTTGTTTTCTTCATCAAGAGAATAGATCGATCTGTTTTCAATCGATTTATTAAATTATGAAAAGTAAATAATTTATATTTATTTTGAAATATGAATTGTAAAAAAAAAACATTTTATTTATTTCAAATTTAAATTACTGATGATTTAATTTATTGTTAAATTAAACTAAAAGTAAATATTAATTGAGAACCCCTAGTCAGTAGTCAATGCTGAAATTTTCAAGGCTATAAACAATGCTCTATAAAAGTTAAGATTTCTATAATGAATGGTAATAAGACATGTAAGAAAAGATTATTCTTGCGAAAGCAGGTTCAACAGAAAGTATTTGGCTTTGTGCTGTACGACCAGCAATTTTTGGAGCACTGATACATGATGACGAGTCGAGATTCTCGTCATTTAGTATTGTTTTTTGATGAAACTTGACTCAACAGAATAGGTTGCTAATTATTTTGACTTAGGAGAAATGAGAACCATGATTCCGTATAAAAAAGTTGTTTGCTCCAAAGTAGGTAAAACAAACTGAATAAACATTTTTTTTTTGACCTGAGTAAATAAATAACTATCACATGCTATTGCATGTTTTTCGTTTTATCATGTGCATGACCATTTTTTTCTCGTTCTTTCGTTTTATTTGTCTGTGTATAGCGGAAAGCCAGCAGTATAAACACCATACATGGTTGACTAGTAGATTAGTAGCTTACAACACCGGACGTCGTTTTAAAATATACGCATGCGCAATAAACAACAACAACAACGAGTAAAAAACATACTTGAGATTATTTTAGTTCTAAAAAAGGAGACATCTAAAAAAAGTGAATTGCTATGTGACATATTGAGAAAAAATTATG